CCCCCATCCCACTGGGGGGGGGGGCAGGGGGAGAATGAGCAAACAGCTGTGTGGTTGTTTTAGCTGCCTGCTGGGTTAAACCACAACACCATTAATCAGCTGATTTAAGTTAAACTGCCTTTCACAGCTCATCTTTATGCCTTGTGCTGTTGAAAGATTGTATGCTCGGCTCTACATTCACTGGCATACCATAAGAAAAAAACCAAACAACACCAAGAACATCACAACCAAGATGTGACTTCCGTTGAATTCATTAGGACTACGGGAGCAGTACTTGACTCCTAATTGAATCTTATCCTTTAAGTAGGTATAAAGAATAGCTTTGAGATGCTTGCTTTTTTTATCTTCTTCTGAGACCTACACCACACTACACCATCTGTCTTCACACAGGGGTTGTTTCCAACACAGAGTAGAGAGCCTAGGTTACCCCTGCATGCCCACTTCAGGGAGTTTTGCGGAATACTTAACCATGAAAGGCCACCTAACTACTGATATACAAACTACCGACTTTACTCAACTGGTAGTAGAGAGTCCAAGCAAAAAAAGATGCTTTTCTCATAAAGCAGTCTGCAAAGACCTAAAGCACCATCCCTGACCACAGGGCAGCATTATTGATAAGACCCACTTGCTTTTGCTTTGATTTCTTCTCCTGCTGAGGCCTCCTGCCACGTACACAACCCAGAACACCAACACCACCTGCTAAGCAGAATATGGCTGGTTTTCACTCTGCTGCAGCTTGATGAGCAGCAGAAGCAGTACTGGCACTGCCCAATTCAACTTTAAGGCTCTGAGTCTGCAGCTACTGGTTGCATAGGAAGCTTTCTATTTGTGACAAATAGTAAGGTTGGTAAAAAAAAAAAACAGCACTGGCTAGTATTTCAAGATATCTCCCTCTAGCAATGAAAACTAGATTCCTGTAGGAGAGGATGATACTTTCTTAGGAAGTCTTCTTACATGTCCCAGCACGCACACATTATGAAGTGATGCTCATAAAGGAGGATGAACTGCACCACACCACACGAACAGACAAAACCTGTCTAGAAACCCGCACAACACACTGCACTGACAGGAATTGCTTCAAGAAGAAAGAGCTGCAGTACTAGAAGCACTGCTGATGTTATCTAAAAGCAGTTATTTTAATCTTCAGTTAAAGGTTTCTGAAAGTTAGACGTTGAACATGCTTCTAGGACAGTCTCATGTGAAAGCACCACCTATCTAAAAATCAAGTTACTG